GGCTTAGAGAATTTTGGAAAACACTATTTCTCACGCCTTAACATCCTTATACCGTGATCTCTCTTTTCCTTTGTTTTCACCCCCTTGTTTTGCTATTTTCTTTGCGATTGAGCCCAAGTATATTCGGAATTTGTCTCACGCCTTAGCATCTTTCCCATTGGAACGATCGGAGTCAAAGATTTATCAACCTCAACCGGATCAAGTGTGTGACATTCTTGGGAAGATAGTATCAAGTGGTATCAGAGCCACACGCTTGAAATCTCGGTAGTATCTAACCTTATAAGTCTTTTTAAATTCTGCCTTTTCTTATATATATATATATACAGAATCTTGTTGAATTAAAATCTTTTTTGTCTATCTGATCTCTTTGTAATCTCAAATTGCTTGATAATCTGTGCAGTTTAGAACAGATTGATAGAATCATTAAAATACAAATTTTTTGAATAACAATGGATTTTGATTAGATTATAAAAATCATCAAACCAATGGATTTTTATAATCTGTAAACGAAATAAACAGTAAAATCTATTAAAAATGTAAATATACATAAACTAATAACCATAGAATCTTAAACTCTAAAAAACATAAGATGTGTTAAAGATAACACATACATAATTAATAAAAATTAAAGCGATATGTCTCTAAGAATGTCCATATATGATTTAAATTTTTAATTTTATTGGTCCACATTAATATTTAAAATTAAAACAATTTTCAAATTTTAAAATTATGTTGTTAACAAAAAAAATATATATATTTATAGAAAAAAAAATTGAAGATATATGCCTCTAAAGACATTCTCAAAATATTTAAAAGATCAATTTTATTAGTCCATATCAATAAATAAAATTAAAAAAAAAATCTAAATAATAAAATTATATTGTTAATATAAAAAATATATATAAAAAAAAATATTTAAAATTATTCTATTATTAATAACAGTTAAAGCTATATTATTTTCAAAGTATCCACATCACCATTTAAAATTTTAATTTTATTCGTATATATTAAAAATTTAAATTATAAAAAGTTTTTTTCTAATTCTAATATCATGGTTAAGAAAATAAATTAAAAAATAAGTTTAACCTCTAGAAATAACAAAAAACTCAACATGATATTAAAATCTCCATTATCACTGTTTAATTTACAAATTTAATTTATTATCTATCAAAAAATATATGCTACTTATACAAGTTTAAGATACTTGATTTTAAGAATTTTCATGTAAAATTTTAAATAACTAATAATTATGATTTATATTCATCTAAATTTTTTCACATATGCAAAACATAATTCCAAATAATCTCATGTAATATATTATGGGAAAATGATCAAAAGAATACATTTTGTATATTCGACTTGGAATTGCAATAGATTAATGTAAAAGATCTTAATTTTGAGTTGCTTAATTTGTATTTCATTGTTATAAATTTGTATGTATTAAATTGTATCGGTTTTGTCTACTTAATTATAATTAGAAAAAACTGAGAATGAATATGATGAAACTGAATATAATCATACAGAAAATATTTAAATAAATAAATATGATAAAAACAGATATAACAAGAATAAAAATGAACATGAAGAAAAAAATGAAATATTAATTTTTATTAATTTTTATTGTTTTTAAAGAACACATATATAATTGGAATAAAAGTGAAAATGATAAAAACAATTATCTTCTTGATTTAAAAAATTTAATGTATAACATATTGTCATCATGTCAATACTATGTTTAAAAAGTAACATTTGATTAATTTATAAAAAAAATTAGTTGGTTTGGTTATATTAATTTATAATTTTTTGACCAAATAATACGTTTTTAAAATATGATATATTGTATATAGATTTAAGAAAAAAAACCGTTAAAACCTCACTATTTACATAAAAATTATTAGATTAACACCATAATATTATTAATATATTATTAAAATACTAACATATACAATTTATATCTTAATAAATATAATTGATTGCATATAATTTTTATCAACCAAATACCCACGCATAGCATGGATGCAAAATCTAATACATGACTAAAAGATAAAGTTAAAACAGACCTCTTGGGAGAGATGTTAACCATCTCAAAGTTTAAACAGTCACCCTCATTGTTCCTTTCTCAATAGGGAGGGTGGCCTTAGATTCATAAAAATCTTGTTCTTATTCTTGATTTTAAAAAATCTTCTTGTTCTTCTTTATAAAATAAAATAACTATAATACACAATGGAGAGTGAAGATGGAGGTTGTCTTCTTGATGTTTAGTTACATTCATATTTTTATTTATTCCCCCTTCTTTCAATTTTTCCGATGATTTGCACTCACCATCTTTTACATATTTCTATGTTCTCCAGACCCATCTGCTCAATATTTCATATGCTTGTTCTCTGAGTGTTTTTTTTGGTCAACTGTTCTTTGAGTGTCTTTCCCCATGCCTTCATCACAAATAGATCGTTTACCGGAACAGTTGATGCAAATGATGGCATGAATTTTACAACCTAACTTTTATATATTAAGATAGAAATTTGAATGGGTCTGCCAAAGCATTAGCATATCAGAAGACTCGGCCAATACACTAACCGATCCAATTGTAGTCTTTCACCCTCCACTTGTTCTACAGTTTAATAGTAGGTTTGACTAACAAATGAATTCAATTTTGTTTTTGGGTATCAAAATTTCAGAAGAACTATTTTAGTTTTTAGAAAATTAATTTATGATTGTGTTTGTGATCTTATGCATGTAGAAACAATTATATGTTTATCGAATTTAAATTAATGATAAGTTGATTTTGAACTTAAAGAGCCTGCTTATTAAATTTTCTGAAAATTTTCATTTGAATTTTGCAGGATAAATACGAAATTTTAGTTTTTAGCTACATAATTTTTAGGAGGGATCTATCTATTTCCAACACAGATCGTACATAAGCTTTTTTTTTTTGCAGTGGTTTTGTTTCCTGAGAATTCTCTTGCTTAGAGTTAGCATTGACAGGAAGTGCTTCTAAAGTTTCATCAATAATGATCTCAGCCTTTTTTTTTTTTTTTTAATCTTTTTCTTCGACTTTTCTTTGAAACCGGTTCAACATTATCAGCATCTTCATCCTTCTTCTCAACTATAGCCTCATCATCTATCTCCATCTCCTGCAATCAAACCCAGGTGTTACAAAATTATAATTTTAACCAATATGGATAAGCTCGAGACATCAAAAACCAAAAACATCTACGATCAACCTATTTACACTATCTACAACCTAGAAAATATGGAGCCATGTCATAAGATTCATTACGGAGACATAAGACCACGTAATTAAACTCTTTGGCACCTAATGAGTAAATATCCTGGCAGGGATACCGGGTACTTTGGTCAGTCCACAACCTGCAAGCTTTAGTGAGTTCATGCAGCGATCAATCAACAAATTTTGTGACTTTAGATCACGATGAAGAACCCTGTGAAAGTGGCAATACGTAATTCCACGGAGAATCTTGTAAATAAATGTCTGCAAATAGTGGATGAACAGCTCTGATCAGTCTGTATTGAGTACTAAAACGCATAGAGAGGACATTACATAACTTAGATTTCAACAATATTCAGCGAAACTAAACAAATATATACGTCAAAATTAATAGAAGGAAGTTCATGGCATCATGACCAACCAAACAGCATAAAATTACAGTATTTTTAGGAGTTACTGGTTTGTTTATTTAAGAAGTGCGTTCACATGAAAAATGCATTAAGCACATAATTAAAACAATGCGTAAAGTTTCTTAACACTCACTTTGATCATATGTCGATCCTTTGAGAAATCAGGAGATGAGTTTTTGTGTTTTTTGAGATCCAAGTCCAAATACTCAATAACCAAATTAAATACAAACATTTCTCGCTGGGCACTACATCCTGCGACCTGTGTACAAAAGAATCAACCCAAATTGTTCACCAGATTCATGCTGCAGTAGTTCAACAGAAGTGTTCACTTGAAAATGTTGTTGTGCTGCATTTCTTTCTAGAGGGAGATTTCTCTACTTGTTGTGCTAGGTAGACCTCCATTCTTCTGCTCCAGCCGGATCTTCTTCAAAGCTATTGTCTCATTGGTCAATTTATCTTTTGCCTTATAAAAAAGTGAACCAACCGAGCTATGATTTTTTGGTTGCAGAAATCACCTTCCATTTTGTCGAGAATGTGGAAACTCTTTTGCTGGGCAGAAAGACGGAGGGATTGAGAAGCCATGATTAGATTCCGAGAATGGAGTAGTGGGGTTAGCCATTAATATTAATATTATTCAATTGGAAGAATTGAGTGAAGAATTAAGATGAGAACGTGGAAGATGGTGGTTTTTTTTAAGGGTATGAGTTGGAATTAGATCGATTAACATGCGAAGAAGAACAGAAGGAAGAAGCCGACTTTGGATATTCTTAGATCATATCTTAGACCATTAATATCGCAGAGACTTGGGCTGTCTCTTAGCCCCAAAAAATTATTAAAATAAATAAAAGCAGCTCAAAACTTGTAGAAACGTCTCTTATTTATGTTTTATTAATATCGCCCATTGTGATTGGGTCGGAACATTTGGGGAGAAAAAAATATTTTCTCTGCTCTAATTTTTTTTCCATCAACAAAATTCCCCGAAAAACTTTGGTCTCTCCGTCGAAGGCGATTTGGAAGGCGATGTCGACGTTTCAGTTTTTCCAGCGGGTTCTCTTCGACAGCTGTGGTTTCTCCAGCGGCTTCTGGCGTCTTACCGACGGTCTATCCAGGTAATCGGTGTTAACTTAATCTCAATCTTTATCCTCGATCTGTTGTTTCTCTGAGAGTCGTGAGTTAGAATTGTGTTTAGAGATAATGAAATGATCGATGGGGCTTTTGATTTGTTGGTTTGGGTTCGGTTTTAATCGATTTTTCCGGTGGTATATGAGTAGGAAATCGATTGTAAGTGATTTAGGGTTTTGGAAAATTTGGGGGTTTAGGGTTGATTTTTTTGCGAGTTACTTTGTTCCTATGTTTTCTAATCGAGCCTGGTCTGGTTTGGTTTTGCGAGATACTTTGGTCTGGTTTTGAGTTTAGCAGGCGACGAATGTGATTGAAAGCTGAAGAAGCAGAGACAAATAAGGGAAACTTTAAGAGATGGCGTTTAAGCCTTTCGGGAAAGATGTTGGGCCGTCGATGAGCTCCAAGCCATCACCGTTTACAACCTTTGGCACTTCTGCTCCTACACATCCCACCACCACCAGGTGTGCTTTTCAATTCTGTTGATTTATGTAATATCTATGCCATGATCCTACTTTCATTTCACTTTTAAAGGTTTTTGATTGATTTCACGCTATGGATCTATTATGCTCTACAATTTTTCCTGGTTGTGTCTAGGATCGCGCCTAAGTATCTTGAATTTTCTATGCGTTTGTGCTCTGTATGACTTTGGCAGCTCTAAGCTTCGGGTTTTTAAATCTCAGTTGCTTATTTGTGAATGTAATTTAGCTGTGGCTTTCTTTACCTTCCTTAAGAGTAGCTGCACTTTGATATTGGTTCTCTCAGGTCTTTTCTCTAATTTCTAAATAAGAAAAAAACTTGTCTATTTTTTGTTTTGGTGAAAGTTCTGCTTGAATCTTCTGAGGGTTGCACAAATTTTGATATGAAGAATTTATCGAAATACTTCAATGCTATGTTTTTTTTTCAGGAGACAGGACCTGCTAATGGAATACCATGGGGTGCGGAAGCTTTTCCACGTCCAAGCCTCTCTGTGAGACCTTACCACTTTCCTGAAGTTCAGAGGAAAAACTCTACGTGTGATATGTTCTAAAGAGTGTCATATTCGACAGCTTGGCAGCAGTGTTAATCACACAACTCAATGCTTCAGTCTTCTACAATAGAAAATATAGCAGTAGGAATCTGTGGCTGAGATTTCGAGGGTTGCGGAGCTTCACCAGACTAGATAAGTTTCTTGACTTCATTCTCTGGTTTAAGTTATACAGGCTTTAATTTTGGCATCCTCTAAGTCTTATTGTTGTTTGTATGCAGGTTTTTGGGGTATACAAGTTACAAGGCGAGACAAGTAGAACCCGTGAGTAATCAGAGGACGTGTTTGACTCATGATGTGGTAAGTTTAAACTTTCCTTCAAGTTTAAAGTATAATGAGTAATAAGTAATAAATGCGTATTACTGTATAGATAATTAATGGTAATAAATTGGATAGTTAGATAGGTATGAATGCGTTGTTAGGTTCAGGTCATGTCATGGTTAGATAGGTGATCAATGCTTTGTTAGGTTACGGTCATCTGTTTCTTTGTTGTTGTATTAAAAGACTTGGTGGTTAGGTAGTTGTTAACTCATTAATCTCTAGTATCTCTTGCTTTGATGAAGTAATAAAAGCCGATGACTGAAAGAAATAAAAGCAGATGTAGCTTCATCTTTTGAATCTCATCCGTTCAGCCCTTTTACTCCTTTCTTCCATTCATCCTTCTCTGTTTATGTTGTTCATTCATTCCTCTCTTTCCTATACTTGTGTTTTTCACTCCTTTCTTTCAGTCCTCCTCTGATTCAGTCCTCTCTATCTCTTCCTTCTTTGATATGTCTTCGCCTTATCAGTCCTCTCACCCCACCAATTTTGTTGACTTATTGAACAGTCAACAAGAAACATCCCTCTCTGAATCCTTTCCCTATCTCGACCAAGTCCCTGTTTTCAGTACTCAGGACTCACAACCTTCTAACCTCAAGGAAACGCCTGCAGAGCGACGAGAAAGAAAGACGTGGAGCCCAGCAGAGGACGTCTTGCTCATTTCGGCTTGCCTAAACACAAGCAAGGACTCTGTGGTTGGCAACGAGCAAAGGCCGGGAGCTTTTTGGCAGAGGATTTTGTCGTACTATGCAGCAAGTCCAAAGCCGGCTGGAAGTGAAGCACGTGAGGCAGGAGAGTGTAAGCAGCGGTGGCATAAGATAAATGACCTTGTATGCAAATTCTGCGGAGCTTATGAGGCAGCATCAAGAGAGAAAGCTAGTGGGATGAATGAGAACTACATCATAAAGATGGCTCACCAAATATTTTTCAGTGATCAGAAGAAGAAGTTTAACATAGAGCATACTTGGAAGGAGTTGCGGAATGACCAGAAATGGCCTGAGCTTTCTTCAGGGAAAGCAGATGCAACCTCGAAAAAGAGAAGGGCTGAGGAGGGATCACAGTCCCCAAGTTGATCTGCTCAAAGTTTAATCCCTAGAGCTACTCTGCAAGAGCACAGATGTGCAGTTGTAGTATGTAGGGGTCGAACCACAGAGACAAGAGATTCGCTCAATAAACCAATTAGACTCGAATTACGCTAAGCAGAATAATGCAAATTAAAATAACAAAGCAGTAGAAAACGTTTAGAAAACTCGAATGGATGGAAATTAGGCTTATGGCGTTTCTCAGGAAATCAAAGAATGCAGATCAATCGATAAATTAGGGTTCAGGGTTAAGCACGGTTCTTGAACTCAAATCACAAAATTATAATTAACCAACTTCCGTTGCGAGAATTATCTAAGTCTAAATCTTAGAATTCCAAATTCCTTTGCAAATCCTAAATACATAACCCAGCTTTAATGCTCAAGTTCGATATGTTCACAAAGTATCTAAACAAATTCCTTTGCGAATAGCTACTTTGCTCACCTTAGGTTCTTTCCAATTATTCAATTACACTTCCGTGTCAATCAATTAACCTAAGATCTAAGTTCTAGGTGGCCAGTCCAGAATTAGCTTTAACAACAACCTATGGTGAAGAACTAAATAGATTATGAACCCTAACTAATTAATCAATCTAACATCCAATGAAATCCTTTATGAGAACCCTAAACCTAACAAGCAAACTACTCAGACATGAAGATTGAAGCAATAAACATGTTTGAATAGATTGCAAAAAGCAGTAAACAAATTAATAAACAGGGGTTCGAAATCTTCTCTCTCCAGAACAGAGTTTCAAACTTGTCTCCCCAAAAGCTCTCAAAGAAAATCTAAGGTGTTCGTAAAAAGGGAATAAAAATCCTATATATATCTCTAAAACACGTTTTGGGCCTTCTTGGAATTATTTGGGAACTTCTGGGCCCAACTCCTTCAAACAGGAAACAAAATCGTCTTTTTCCTTATTTCTTTGAGAAGTGTCGAGCGTCACTCTCCATGGTGTCGAGCGACACTAAAGCACAAAATCCATCCTTGACGAATTTGATCCTGATTTAAGCTTCAAAGTGCTCCAAAATCTCCAGTTAAGCTCCAAACGTACCTATGACCTGTAAAGACTCCAAAAAACTCGAAAAACACTAGAAAGACTCGATAAATAAGACCTATACCATGGTCCAAAACCATAAAAACCATGATCTATCAACTCCCCCAGACTTAGCATTTGCTTGCCCTCAAGCAAACAGAACACCAAATAAGAGAAAGAGGTTTGAAAACACAGAGACTCAACCTTTCACTGGAACATCGCTTTTGACCAATCACCCTGCAACTCAACTACTGCTTCATCCATCCAAATCGAACCACCATGTATTTCTCCGCAGACATTCACAGCTTCCCAGATTAAATCCAAAATTCCACAACATTGTCCATAAACCCTCATCTGATCTCACTGATGATTCAGATGCCAAGAACCTTCTAGACTCTTTCCCGTACTATACTTTGACAAATCAGCCATACACACTTTGGTACTTTTCTCTCCCCCAGACTTATTCTTTTCGCACTCTCAACATTTTTTTTATGGCATATACACGATAAGGTTAAAGCTACGAGTACTGATGGTGTTTGCCATCAAGTCCCCGAGTTGTCCCCTTACCTTGTATCAAAGGTTTTCAGCGAATAGTGAGGTCATAGGAAACTTTCCTACCCCTCGCTTCCTTCCTTTGTGTGATCATTCCAACTTAGAAGTGAAATGATGGGATCCTTGGAAATTTTCCTACCCCTTCACTCCTAAGCGAAAATCATCTCAATCTTTTCGCCTTTTTCTTTCTTTCTTCACTTTTTTTTTATAGCTCGTCATAGGGAGAGAAACACCAACATTAGATTTCACACAGGCTTTCATTTGTCAAGTATGAACGAGGAATCAAGCTCTATGAACATCAGTCACATCAATGAGGTAAAAGAAAGAGTTCAGAAATTAGCTCAGGTTAGTAGATTCTGTTGGAAACATGGACGCTTCTAGTCAACTGGTCAGCCTTTGGATTTTTCATTAGTCAGATCTAGACTGAATATGTAGCAGTGGTCACTTAGATGAAAGTTCAGCACAATAATTCCAAGAAAAGCATCATAATCTCCAACAGGTTTTGACTCGAAAACGTTTTGACACGACTGACTCTAAGAAAAACAAAACACAATGTCAGCAACTACCTCCCCCAGACTTGAACAACACTGTCCTCAGTGTTATCAAGTCCGAAGTTGGTGATACAAAAGAAAGGAAACAGAGAAACGCAGGAAAAACGGAGAACTTACCTGGCTGCAACGATGGTGTCGCTAATGATTGTGTCGTGTGGCACTCGTTCTCCTCGTACCGAATTGCAGCAGATCCATCCGAATTTCTGGTTTGACCCCGGCTTCCTGATTTCCTAAATTTTTTCTTTTTGGACTAGTGTCGATCGACACTGATGGTGGTGTCGCTCGACACCAACCACTTCGTATCTGCTACACCTAAAACACCAAAACGAAAAATGAAAGTTAGCTGAAACAAAAGGACTTATATACAGACTTACCAGTGGATTGCCTTCCACCAAGCGCTTGTTTTAAGTCATTAGCTTGACTATGGATAGACTATGCATCTGGTGGATCAGACAGTGACAAAGAGTGCCTCTGTGAAAGTCGTCTCATCCATGGTGGTGTGTAAGCGTTGTGTGCATGAGGTCGTCCAAGGAATGCAGGAATAGCACCAGGGTGAGATCCGTGTTTGGGTGGCCTTGACCTATTCCCTACAATATCATCAATCGAAAAATCAAGTTCTCTTTGCTTTGGTGTAGATGAATGGAGTAAGATGTTTTGAGCTTCCTGATCAACAACAGTCACTGGTTCTGTAGACGTTTTCGTCAACTCAGGTTGATCTCTCACCTTCTCAGCATCAAACACGTTCTGATCTCCAACTATCACTTCAGGTATTGCACTGACTTGGAATGTCTGACCATCTATGGTTGGATCCTTCAGCTTCTCCATCTTGAAAGTCATGATGATATCTTTCGGGTGGAGATCAAGGTTACCATGCTTGACACAATTACTGCTCTAGCTGTAGCTAAAAAAGATCTTCCCAGAATAAGAGGATCTTTGGGTTCCTCTCCATATTCCAGAACCACGAAATCTGTAGGAATTATGCAATCACCAACTTTAATCGGAACATCCTCCAAGACACCTTTTGGGATTCTTTTAGATCGATCTGCTAGGATCAAAGAGATCTTAGTTGGCTTAAAGTCAGTCATCCCAAGTCTAACAGCTACAGAGTATGGCATTAGGTTAACACTTGAACCAAGATCACACAGCGATCTCTTGAACCTCTCTGAGTAGATAGAGCAGTCCAAAACAAAGCTTCATGGGTCTGAGAGCTTCTCTGGAGTCTTATTCTAAATCACAGCACTGACCTGTTCAGAGATCATCATCACTCCTTCCTCATGACTCAGATTATTAGTCACCATCTTCTTCACATAGTGTCTGAGAGTAGGAGCAATCTTCACAGCATCAACCAAAGGAATCTCAATCGAAAGTTTCTCCATCAAAGCTTTGCATCTGGCATCATCTATCTCCTGCTTGGACGTCCTAGGACTCCTTGGGTAAGGAACCTTAGGTTTGTAAACCTTTTCCTCGGCAGATTTCAGACTTTGAGCAATATCAGCTTCGCTCTGCAATTGGTGACGCGCAACACTGGTTGTGGTGTCGCTCGACACCGGCTCTGCAACTTCGAAATTTTCTTCAGATTCGTCCAACTCCACGATTTCATCCTCAGAAACACCCTTTTTCAGCACAGGTCAACTTTTTACCACTTCTTAACGAGATGGCACTGCAGTAATGCCTAGGATTGGTATCAGTCTTCCCAGGAAGGAATCCTTCTTGCCTTTTTACAGACTCTGCAGTCTGAGCAACCTGAGTATCAAGCTTCTTGACATGAGTGTTCAGAACTTCAATTTTTCCATTCAGATCCAGATACATAGCATCAATCTTCCCATTGAAATCCGCAGTCATCTTCTGCTGACCTTCCAAGATCTGTTCCAACATAGACTTCACCTCATTATCTAGAGTTTTAGGAGGAGGAGGAGAACCATAATTCCTTGAAAAACTATTGTTGGAGTAGGATGTCTGGTACTGATCAGGTCTAGAGTTGTAACCAAAAGAGTTCTGATTACCTGTGAAGGTACTCCTCTGATTATTTCCACTGTAATTCATGTTTCCTTGCTGAGTACCAAATCTCTGACCTTGAAATCCAGCTCCATTGATGAAGTTAACATCCTCTTCCTCAAGTTCGAAACTCTCAACATCTGCAGGAAATATGACGGACTTCTTACCCACAAGAAGGCTATGCACAGAGTCTAGCTTAGCCTTCACCTCAGCAATCTGCGATCCATCCATGTTCCCAGCCTGCTTCCTTCGCTGATAGTCTTCATTCTTGGTACTATTGCTAGATGCCAAGTTCTCAATAAGCACAACAGCGTCTTCAGGGTATCTGGTGTTGAAGTTCCCATTGCTTTCAGCATCAAGAGCCATCTGATATCTCCAATCAACACCTCTGAAGAAAATACCCAGCAGCTGAACATCACTGAAACCATGATGTGGACAATCTCGCTGGTACGACTTGAATCTCACCCAAGCAGCTTTGAATGCTTCAGTTGGTCCTTGAGAAAACGTTGAGATTTTGAGTCTCAGTTCCTCAGACCTGACATCATCATAGAAATTGTGCAGGAAAGCATTTCTGGTATCCTCCCAAATAGTTAGTGATCCTGGCTCCAACTGCTTCAGCCAGTTAGCTGCTTCTCCAGCAAGAGAATAAGAAAACAGCTTGCAGAAAAGGTAATCATTGGACACTCCATTGTATTTGATGCTGGTGACCAAGTCCTCGAACCTCTCAATGTGATCCATAGGGTGCTCATGAGAGTGACCATGAAAGGGATGCTGATCCACAAGGGTGTAGTACACATGCTTCAGCTCAAAGTCATTCCTCTGAAACACAGAAGCGCGAATCGCGGATCGATTTGCATAGAAC